TTGGGTAAGTTACTTAACTTCTCTGCATCTCGGTTTTCTCACATGGAAGTGGGTCAAATAAGAGTGCCTTCCTCATAAGAGTGCTCTGAGAAACACATGAGATAACGCCCATGAAGCAAGTCATCATCTTTCACAGGCATCCAGAGGCTCTGGCCCTCAAGGTGGGAGAGTGCAAGAGACTCAGGAGTCCCATAACAAAGGCCCCCACCTCATAGGGCCGTGGAAGGCATTCAATTAGTTCATGAAGAATAATGCTTAGTACGGAGGAAACACTTGAAATTGTTTGCCGTTGTTATTGTCCTTGTATATTTCCATTTCCAGTCGAGTGAACTAAAACAGACAAAGTTTCAGTAACTTGCTTAGGAAATAGACAAACAGTCAGCAGTGGAGTCAGGAGTCTGTCTGACTCCGTGGCCCATGCTCTCTACCACTATGCTCTCTGCATGCATAGTAGCTATTACTATCAGTATTATTTTGACAGGAGAAATAGTTTTCAGGCAGGCCTGCTGTCACCTACTGAAGAGAAGTTTCCAATTCATCAGGCTGCAAAGTGCACGCTTAGCTTTACACTAACACACTAAACATGGAACCACTGTTAACCAGTCTTTTGGAGGCATGAGGCAGAAGTCCTCCATATTTTTGTCTTAGAGTAAGAGGATATTTTCTACGTGCTAAGATCTTTGACTTGATCTGGGAAAGTGGAGACAGTGACTAAGGAATTTAAAGAGGGAGTATGCAGAGGAGAGCCGAAAAACGTTCTTAGGGTCTTCCTGCCAAAGTGAACTGAATTGAATGCCCTGGTAAGTTCCAACCTTTCTCTAGAAAGGCCTCTAGGCCACTCCACTTTCTGATTTTAGCATAGAAGATGCTCCCTGCTCCTCTGAGAAGTAATCGGAGGTTTCTTGCAATATCTGTTGAACTTGGACAGAGACATTCTATGCTTGCACTCATTAGAGCATTCCTAATGTAGTTACAATTGGAGTGCTCTGAATGGCTTCAGCTATCTTTGTCAGCATGTTACCATCTCTGTTATCTAAGCTGCTAAACCTCAGAGTCTTCCCAGCTCAAGGACTGCCCATTGATTTCAGTTTCCAAAAACAGATTTCCCACTGTACCACCAGATCCTTACTGTTGGTGAAGTCTCCCGCTAGCCCGCTTGCTGTCTGTAAGTGCTGTGGTTACATAAACGCAAATCTCTGAGGCCATCCTATTTTCTCTGAGGGCACAGAGCTAAAAGAAGATGGTTTGTTGTTTTAGGGAAGACACTCACTCCTAAGAAATTTCTAGCTATTGGGCAGGGGGAATAAAAACTGTTTTGGAAAATACTAAGTTTTTCTGATGTTAAAGTGGTACAAATATGTATTTAAAGGAGGTTCTTTCCTGAGAGGTGTTGCTGAGGTGTATGCCTGCATTTGAGCTCAATTTGGGTCTAGACTTCCTGGAGCCTTATTTTCCTATCCCTTATTTAGACAAAGTGGTAAAGTACTTCACAAGTGAGTTTCTTCTTTTATTCACGTGCTGTATGCGCAAAGAAGCCCACTGTTACTGAAGTAAAATTACCTGAAAAATACATTTTCCTAGGAAGTGCTGTCTAGGTAAGAGGAAGACGTTTTAAAGTGGAGTATTAGTCTTAAAGACTCTAGAATGCTTCATACTGCCTGAAAGTTGTCATCGTTGACAATCACTATTAATAGTCGAAGCAATGTGGGGGGCCTGGATGGCTCAGTTGGTTAAGCATCCAACTTCGACTTAAGTCATGATCTCATGGTTTGTGAATTCGAGCCTCACGTGGGGCTCTGTGCTGACAGCTCAGAGCCTGGAGCCTGCTTCAGATTCTGTGTCTCCTTCTCTCTCTATCCCTCCGCTGCTCACACTCTGTCTCTCTCTCCCTCAAAATAAATAAACGTTTTAAAAAATTTTTAAAAATAGCTGAAGCAATGAGACAGCAATGATTATGCCACCTACATTGGCCTTTAAAGTTCAAGTGCCACATGCAAGGGTATAGATAGTCTCTCACGTGTGTTATGGTTCCCATTAACAGATGGAAAACTGGACTTGTAAAGGTATCTGTCCCGCTAAAGGGTCCAGAAGTCACTCAATATAGACAGAAAAAAATACAATTTTAGGACCGTACCTTTTAATATGCACCATCATGCCAAGTATAGAGGTGACAAGTGTGTTTGTATACAATGTGATTAGCCTCTGAGGAGCAGGGATCCATGACATTATTCATTTATTCATTCATTCCATGCTCATTGAGGACTCATTATAGCCCAGCGATTGCTCCAGGCAGTGGGGTATAAAGTCTCTAAGTTCACAGAGCTTCTGTTCTGGTGGCTAGAGACAACAACAACAACAACAACAACAAAATAATAAATCAAAATGAAATATCAGGTAGACATAAATGCTGTGAGGCAAAACACACACACACACACACACACACACACACACACACACATACACACACAGGAACAGAGCTAGGAAATGCTGAGCATGTCCACAGGGTCTTGCTTTCTGTAGCGTGGTCAAGGAAAGCCTCCATGAGAAGGTGGCATTTGAGCAGGTATCTGAAGGAAGTTAGGGTTAAGTAGGAGTTGTTAAAGTATGATTTTCAAGCAGTCAAAAAGCAACTCTTACATAAAGAGAAGCTGAATATATGTCAAAGATATATTCTACTCAGTACTCAGTAAAGGATCAGTAAACTGTTAAGACTGGTTCAAAGGGCATTCAAAAATCTGGCATTTACAGGGAGTTTAATTCTTAGTTGAGCACTAAGAAAGACTGTTAGATTGGAGACAGAAGTGGTTAAAAGCCTACTATATTCTGTATAAACTATATTCTTTGAGGTTATCTTTCTAACAGACAGAAATCGGTCCCTCCTGGAAAAAATCTATAAATTAACAAACGAGTAACTTCACTACATCTAGGACTTTTAATCCAGAGTAAACAGTGAGTAAAATAAAGTACATTCTTGTGGGAGCCTATTAAACAATGTATCCATGGCACATTGAAAGGACATATTGCTCATCTTTTTATTTATTTTCAGGCTTTGCCTTCTCCTCCACCTCCTTCTTGTAACAATGCCATGCAGATAAGCTGAAGAAAGAGCATTGCAGGCAGAGACAATCAGCCTGTTTCCCTCACTCAGGGAGGATCCCCCCCCCCCCCCACGCAGATTCACACATTCACCGGGACCTTTTTATCAATATTGGAGTAGGTAAATAGCTGGGGGCAATCTGGAGAAGCTGGAAGATTTATATTAGAAAGAGAGCCGGAACTGAAGTTGGGAGTTGAGAGTGGGGGGATTTTCAGAAATTAGGGAGTGAAGAGTATGAGAAGTGGTGCATAAGGGGTGAATGGATTTGTGTAACAATTTGCTACTTTTCTTGGGTTTGCTGCCCCAGCCCCACCTTTGCCTGTTTCCTGAGAGACTGATCAAGGATACGAATTAGTTCTAATTACTTTCGGTTTGTTTGTTGGACTGGGTTCAATAGGAGATGGGACCAGGTCGCTTCCTGGCTTCCCATCTGTCTGGCACAACTTTGTTCTGTCTCTGAAACGATCATGGGCATTAGGGTGTTTCTGCATGGAAACATTGTTACTGGAAGCTGAGCAGGAAGGGAAATGAGAATGCTTTTCAAGTCTGGAGGGTTAGAGAAGTGCACCCCCTCCAGGAAAGATGCTTGTAGTTGCCCCTCTTCCTGTACGTTATCCACCCTTCCCTTCACTGCCCCCACCCTTTAGCCACCTCCCTAGCTGAGGTTTTCCGAGACTTACTGTGGGCTCTGCCCCCCCCCCCCCACCCAGTGCTTGCCCTTCTGCCCCTATCTCCTGCCTTTCTCCACATGCTGCAGGCTGAAACGAAATCTCTGTTTTCCAAAATACCCCTTTTTCCCACTCGTCACGCTCTATACAAACCCGCATGCATGTCCTCATGGTAGCTTAACTACCACCCAAGGAACCCAGTATCTCCAAACTCTTCACTTGGTCAACTGTGCAATGATACCATAATAACAGAGGCCCTTCAGCATAAGGAGAGGTATCGATGTAGGGGGTGAATTTTTTGGATGATATTTATAGTCTCTCTAGGATATCCAAAGAGAAGTGTTCAGTAGAGAATTTTCACTTTCTCCCATCCCACCCTTTCACTGACCGATGCAGACAGACAGTGAGGGTTTCAGGTACCAGACAGGAATCTGATGGAAGAGGAAAATGGCGGCATTGATGGATAGCCTGTACCCCCTGCCCTCCCCCCACCACCAAGAAGGATAATATGTGGAAAGAGGTGGATGAGGCAGTTGGGGAGAAAAGAAATGAGTTTGTAACCCCAGCCCCTTTGCTTTTAGAAAGAGGCTTTTGCTCCCAGACACTTTCTTCACATTGCCTCAAAGTCTACTAATTAGATTCATTTGGGTTAATATTCAAATATCCCGAAATGATTAAGGAGACCACCATTCCTTCATTCCTTCCTTTAAGTTGGTTCAGTAGACACTTGTTTACTTCCCTGTTTTACTGAAGTTTATGAGAGGGTGGGAACAGAATCACACTTTCAGAGTCCTAAATTAAAAGGGCAAATGCAAAGGTGGATGGGGTAAACAGTCATTGAATAGGAAAGGATAATGACCACTTTGTTCTGGTCTCAACTGAGAGTCATGATGTTAGGGAAGTCCAGGCCAGTGATGTGAGTCCTGTCCTTAATGGAGAAAATAAAAGAAAACTCCTTGAGGTCATATAGGTCATAAGGGCGAACTGCCCAAACTGCCCAGGCCAGGTGTACCCCATACCCACTTCCTTTCCCTATCTCTGGGTAGCGATGACCCCAAGTCACTCTACCCCTATCCAATCAGCTTTAAACACCTCTGCCGGTATGGGTGGGCTTCTTTTAACTTTATAAGCAAATGACCACCTTTGTTCGGGGCTCAGACCTCTGGAGAATGATCTCCTCTGAGCCCACGGGCGTAAAATAAACCTCCTCCCTTCCAAGATCTCCGAGTGCCGCTTGGTTCTTCTGCCAGTGATCCAGACCGGATTTCCACAACATCCTCAGGTGGCACCTCCAGGGGGTATGTTCCAGACTTGGTTTTCTCTTACTGTGGAGTACCAGGCTACCAGCTCCAAATTAGTCCTAGATTTTGGTGAAAGCAATGCAAATGTCCATGTATGTCCTCCTATTTATCCTGTGGGATGTTTTCAAATTTCATCCAGCTTAGAGTGGCACCAAGAAGCATTCTGTTCTCTCTCTCGTCTTCAAGGTCAAGAATTTGATTCCTGGTTGCTGAGAAAGGCCAGACTTCTCCTAGAAGGAAATATTTTTGTTAGAGAAGTCTGTGTCAGATTATTTCGTCTGTTAACAGCAGAACCAGAAGATAATGAGGACTATTTGACAGAGACTAGCATTGACAAATGGTACACATTTTTGAACTCATTTCAAAGTACAAACTCTTATTTCATTTCATTTTCTAAGGCTCTGAATAACTTATAGACAATTTAATTGCCTGTATTTGGAATAGGGAATTCCTAAAATGCTGAGTATAATATTTGGATTTAAAGAAAAAGACACCATAATAGAGGCCATTGTTCAAGTAAGTAGAGACAGGTTCATGTATTTCAAATCTTGGATAAAATATAAAGAAGATCATTGAGCTCTAATTTGAAAGAATTCCACTGACAGACCCAGAAAGCAGTCCACTGTGAGAATATGAGACAGAATTATAATATTTACTGGACAGTTGTTTGCTAAGAAGCATTTATTTTATATCACTTTTTAACAAGACTCAACTGTCAAATTGTTTAAAATTCCATTGGAAAAATTTGGACTATCACAAAAGTGTTTACTCTTTTATCCTTCTGTCTATATTGGATTACTCATGGAAGACAATGGAAAGAATCTGAGAAATGCTGGTTTTAACAGCAACTTACCCTGCATTTCAGAAATATTATAGACTATGTAAATGAAAGCAACTTTGGGGTATGTATTAGTATAGCCGTGACACTATTGGTGTGATGTGGGGCACAGAGAAATGAAAAATTCCAGCACTATGAGCAGAGATTATCCTTTGGAAGATGACAGTACAAGTGAAACATGCTTCCCATGTAACGACTGTGCTTGCATATGAAAAAAAGGAATCATCTTTATCTTGCTTTGCTAAATACCATTGTTAGCTCCAGCAGCTATGATTCCGAGTCTGTGCAATAATACATGACCTTTTATAGTCATTCTGGAGCTACAGAATTATCACCTATGAAGACACTGTAATCGTACGCACCTGAGATCACTCACTGAATATACTTCCGTGAAAAACGTGTTTAGAACAAAGCTGAACTTTTTCTTGGTATTAAAATCACTTTGGGTTCTCCATTCTCATACTAGATAGGTCCTTCCATTTTTTTTTCCTGTAATGTCTGAGTTCCAGGGACATAGATAACTTATGATGATGCAGCAGGTCTTAGCTGCATGAGGATCACCTGAAGGGCTGGTAGAAGCAGATTGCGGGGTCCCCACCCCCAGAGTTTCTGAGACAGTGTACCTGAAATGGGGCAGAGAATGCATTTCTAACACATGATGTTGATGCTGCTTTCCTGGGAACTGCACTTTGAGAACCGCTGCATTAAATGACTCTAGGTAGGGAGTGCTAAAAGCAAGTTTAGGTTAAAAAATCTTATGTGTGGGTCAGGCTGGTCTTGTGCAAAATGAAAAAAGGAAAAAGCCTAAGCTTCCCTCTAAAGGCTCAGCTCTTTATGGCCCCTTCCTCCAAACAGAGCCCTCTGCCTCCTGGTTTCCATTCTCTCTTTCTGACTTCCAGTTCTCAAAACTACTCACAGAGCTTGCTATCTTAATTGACCCTAAAATGTTCATTAACCAAAGCAGTTATTCCTCTCAGGGACCTTTGCATTTTGACATGGATCAAAAATTCAGACCTGATGAATGAAATCTGAACAACAAAAGGCGTTCATTTTAAATGGGAAAAACATTTCCACTCCCTCACCTACATTATACTACAGGGATCTAAAAGTCAAATCTCTTTGTGTTACTTTCATGTTCAAAGTCTTCAGTGACTATCCTTCTCCCACAGGCAACTTTTAAAGACTTAGCAAGCCTTCCAGGCTTTTCGATATACGCCACTGCCTACCTCCTCCATCTCCTCAGCCACGTTTCCCTCCTTCCAGCTGGTATTCAACAGTACTGAACTATTTCACATTCTCTGTTCTCAGGATCAGCTACATTATTTGGGGGACCCAGTGAAAGAAGAAGATGCAGGGCCTTGTGATCAAGATGTATTAAAGAATTTCAAGACAGCACCCACAGAGCGCTCGCCCAAGACCAAAGGCTTCTGAGCATGGAGCCCTGTGTGGTTGCAGGTCCCACACCCATGAGAATGTATAGCCCTGACTATTCCGGAGAAAATAATCTCTAAGTCCCTTGGCGCTTGGGGTATTACCAAGAAACCAGTCAGGGTGTGTCATTTCCTTTTGCTCTGAGTTGGTATCTTTAGATTTGTTGAACTTCAAAGGCAGGCAAGCACTTGAGCTTTGTTCAAATGAACAAATGAACCATGCCTTTGTTCATTTTCTAGGAAAATTCTTAGGAGGCAGAGGGTGTGAGGTACTACTCTGACCCTGGCACCACTTGCTCTCCTCACAGCACTGTCATAGCCTCTCCCTCTTTTGTATCTTTGCAAGGTACTATTCCTGTCTCCTGAAATGCCATTCCCTGTTTCTTGCCTGATTAACTCGCTATCAAGCATCCTCAGAGGCTCAGCTGAGGTTCCTCTTCTGTTGGGAGGCCTTTCCCAAACTCCAGAGCACCTGGGAGCACAGTACACTCAGCCCTTTAGCGGTTAGCTTGCTGGATTTTCATCTTGTTCGCATGAACATCGTATTCGCTAATCCCCAAGCTATTTCAAAGCATCGACGGTGTCTTCATCTTTGTGTCTGCAGAATCTAGCATGACATCTGGATTGGAGAAGGGGCTTCAAAATGCTCATAACATGAAAGAACAGGAGGTTTTAACATGCACGCTAACGTTTTTCACTAATTCAAAAACAGCTTCGGGGCACCTGGGTGGCTCAGTCGGTTAAGCCTCCGACTTCAGCTCAGGTCATGATCTCACGGTTCGTGGGTTCGAACCAGCTCTCTGCTGACAGCTATCTCAGAGCCTGGAGCCTGTTTCAGATTCTGTGTCTCCCTCTCTCTCTGACCCTCCCCTGTTCACACTGTCTCTCTCTCTCAGAAATAATTAAAAAAAAAAAAAATATATATATATATATATAAAACAGCTTCTTGGAAGAAAGCCATTTCTCAAGCAGAGAGGTATTACGTGACACTCAGAATTCTTCCAGAACTCTTCGGTGAGGTTGTCAATTGTCTTCTAGTTACCGCCAAAGGAGGAGGCTCGGCGGCAAGAACTGAACTCCTCAGTCTTTGGAACCGAAATCTGAGTGGATGTGACCCCCCCAAGGACGTGTTCAGTGCCACTCAGTGGAGGCATCTAACACAGGAGAGGGTCTGAGAGAGTCATCAAGAATGCCTTTCCTGGACCGGCTTCATATGGGAACTTTTAATCTTAATTCAAATATCAGAGACTGTTTGAGGTCTACAGTCAACTTTCCGGGGCTGATGATCTAGTTTGTGGTTGATGTAAGTTATTTGTGTCTCCTCCTTCTTCGTGACTTCTGACTACTCACTGTCGTTCTATCCCGAGTGGGTGGCTAAATACCTTACGAGCTGAAATTCAAACCAATAAAGTCTGCTTTTTGTAAATTTATGGTTTATCTATGAATTTCATGTACCCAAGCTATCTTCATCCCTGGTTGATTCAAAATTTGAGCATTGGCAGGATATCATATTTACTTAGGTATTTTTCTCCAACTTGTGGGAATATACTATTCTGGGCTTCTGGGCACATTTTGAGAGACAATCCAGGAAGCTTTTTTTTTAAAAAATATAATCGTTTTAGTTGTTTTTTAGCCATTGGTATATACTTTGTCCTTGCAGACAGTCTGGGATTGAAGCAGCATCTGGTTTGTTTTTCTTCCGGCTAGGCCAGGGAGAAAAGAGAGCTAGTTGTTCCTGACTTTCTCTGTAGACTTATGCTGCTTTCTCGCTTTCCCTTCCATCTCTTGTGATGCTGGTAGGCTTTTACTCCCTCGAGGTGTCTCCAGGCCTTGGACATCACTAATGGGCTGGGACAAAGGGTGGCCAGGTTCAGACAAGGTTAGATTCCTCTTCAGCAGACACTGAAGCCTGAATCCTTGTGCCGACAGACACAGTTAGCCCAGCTGTTCCCAAAGCAAATCCTGGGCTGCCTAAACCACACCACTCCTAATGGCGTGTCAGGGAGCACAGGAGAAAGTCCTGACTGGCCCAGAAGAGTGTCTCAATAGTAATGCAACTTTATCTCTCTGATGTTAATGGTTCTATTTGCTTGGATACTTAATTCATTTAGGAGCCTTACAAGTTGCTTTTATAGAGTTAGAATCTGGACTCTCAGGGTTGGGAGGGAATTCAACAGGTTGTATAGCTTGTCCCTTCCAACACCTGAGTCCCTCTCTGCCACTGCCATGCCCAGGGTTTGTTATTATCTATGCTTAAACGCCACCAAGGATGGGGAATTTACTGCTTGCCCAAGGTCACCCATTTTATCCTTGAGTAGCTCTTTTAGAAATATCTTCTTTTCATAAACCAGATGTCAGCTAAAGTCAACTTGCCCTTTCAGATTTAAATAAAATTGTTTTTGAATTCTCATGCCTTATGAGGTAAGCCATTCAGCATCTCTTTCAAACTCTTCGTTAATCTTTGACATGTGGGCAGGACGTTGTTTATAAGTGTCCTGGCCACCTCTGGCTGAGGCCTCATCACCCCATGTATGGAGTTCTCTCTTTGCGATGCCCATTCTCTGTCCCACGGCCGCCTCTTCCTCCACACAAAGCAGTGCTCTGTTTCCTTCCACGTGAGCCTGTCTCAAATACAAGGCTGTGCAAGTGCGTGTGACATACTTTTACAGGACAATCCAGGCAAATGGTGGAGTTAACGGGTGCAGCGACCAATCAGCTTGTGACTAAGTCGTGCACACTTCGAGTCCTCAAAGCCTCTCAAGGCCTCACTCCCTGGCCACATTTCCCTGTAGCTTCCCCCTCCCACCTTGTGCTTGGCTCCCTGTTTTCTTTTAACTCCTCCCCTCTTCTGTCAAATTCCTGGCTTGCGTCCCAAATTCTAGTTGACTTCCTCTATAGAGAAATTTGGTTTTGCCTTTATCTTGTAGACCTTGACCTTGGGATCTCATGGCCCACATCCAGGGCAGTTTACCAATGTGTTTCCCCAAAGACAGTCCACTCCCTAAAAGCCTTGTGCCAGAGGTTACCCTGTCCCCACGTGGTTACACAAAGTCCAGGTCTGACTCCCTGTCGGTTCTACCCAGTTCCAAGCTGCCGTCTCTTGGCTGGCTTCTGACTCTGGAGTCATTGCTGTGGACAGAAAGAACACAGGCTTTGGAATTCGGCCAGAGTCCGAATCCCAGATCTACTATTCATCAGTCGTGTGACATCATAGGGCTAACTTCTTGAGACCATCTTTCTCAGCTAAGAAATGGTGATTATACCATCTAAAGGATTTGTGTGAAAATTTGCTTAGATACTACACAGCATCTGGCACATAGTAGACACTCAACAATTTTTATTTATTTTAATTAAAATAAAATAAGATGGAGACCTGCCTTAAACATCTATCTCCTGAGCAGACAGAACCATTTATGCTGAATAAGCAAAACTAAATGTAGTCTATTTTATAAGCATACGTGAAACTTACCTTAGGTTATTTCTTGTAAATGCCACTGATAATCATAAAACAAATTTAAAGCGTTCTCCTAAAATGGTATAAGAAAAGCACTTTTATCCAGTCGTCTGCCAGCCATCTGAAAAACCCCCACTGTAATAACTAGTCAGTGAAACCCTCCCACTCCCCCTCATAATAACCATCAGTATACAGGTTAGGCAACTTCCTTGTTGTCACCTCATAAGTCATCCTGTGACATCATGCCTCTGAGCTTCACACCAGTTTTGGGTCTCAAGTGCCACTGACAGTGACTTTTTTTTCTCATTCAGTAAAATATTCATATCAAGGAAAGCTCTCCAAATTTTCTTTTAACCCTTTCCTTCTCCCCCAGCCTCAAAGCTGGTGCGGATGAACCCTCCCCAGCCTGGTTGGATCCCCGCTTGTTTTGAGCTCTGACCAGTCCCTCCTTGCTCTCTTGGCTTTCCTGGCATTTCATCTGGTCCCTGCTTTCATCCCCAGCTTCGACTTTCATGACTCAGTCACTCCCACTCGTATGCGGAAGGGGAAGAAATGTCTCCTTCTGTTGCTCCCTTTGTCTGCCATCATGATTCTGACTTACCTGGAAACACCTTCAGAGATGATTAAGTTATGGCTCACAGATATAACTGAGCTGTTTCCAAATTTCCAAATGGCATCAGAAGCGCTGAGATCACCATGAAGATGCATCATCTCCTTGTCAGAGAGGACTCAAGAAACGCTGATGATCATATTTTCTTTTTGGGATCTCCTAAGTCAGGACCTCCGTAGCCTTGGGGAAAAAAAAAAAGAGAGAGAGATGCCATGATAGCTCTCACAACCCAAACCTCACTAACACAATATTTAAAAATGTTAAATAAGCACATAAAATATCTTGCAACATAATCTCTGTTCGGGTGCCAAAAAACTTTGTTTTCAATATATAAAACTCCAAACATAAGCCCTTATGGATAAAATGCTAGTAATGAAAGTGATACTAGGTGAAGATGACCATTTTTTATGAAATACTATGAAATACTTATTGACCTACCATTTAAGTTATCTGAACCTCAAAACTAACTCAGCCTCTGACGTGATGGGACTTGAGGATGTAGGTTAACAGAGGATGTGCCCTCACCTCCTCAGCCAGGCAGGTGCTCCAGAATGCACATTTCATTCAGATTTGGCTGTTCCTTTGGTGTGGGGAAAGAGCTGCATAATTTCACAGCATTTCCATTTCAGAGAGGAATTCTAAGAGAAAATACCATATCTGAACTCCTTGAGGGGACTGTGCCATAAGCGATTTCAGGCAAATTATTTCTCTGAGGTACGCGTGCTCATCTGCACAAAGAGTATAAAAATGAATGCCAGTATTGGTTTGAAAACATTGTTACATGCTATCGTAACAAAAGTCAAAATAATTGTGGCTTACAAGAGGCAGGATGTTTCCTCTCTTATGATACAGTGGAACACAATAGGTCCAGAGCTATCAGGGCAGATCCTCAGTTTGGGGCCGGGCTCCTCGGATCCTGTTTTGCATCTTCAACATGTAGCTTTCACCTCAGGGCTAAACTGTCTTTTCCCAACTCTTGCCTCCATATCTACCTTCCAGCTAGTGAAAAAGAAGGGGAAGGGAAGGGCACAATCTTTCCCTAAATTTAAGGGTATGAACTGAGAGTTGTTTATATCTTTCTGCTCACATCCCACTGGCTAGCACTTAGCCATGTGGTTACAACAATCTGTACCACAAACTATAAGCCAGAGTCTTCCACTGGGATGCCCCGTGCTCAGCTAAAGTTCAGCACCATTCATCATCAGGGAAATACAAATCAAAACCGCCATGAGATAACACATCACACCTGTCAGATGGCTAAAATTAACAAGAAAAAATAGATGTTGATGAGGGTGTGGAAAAAGGGGATCCCTCTTGCACTGCTGGTGGAAATGCAAATTGGTACAGCCACTCTGGAGAACAGCATGGAGGTTCCTCAAAAAATTAAAAACAGAACTACCCTATGATCCAGCGATTGCACTATTAGATATTCACACAAATGATACAAAAATACAGATTTGAAGGGGTCATGTGCACCCCAATGTTTATAGCAGCATTATCAACAATAGCCAAACTATGGAGAGAGTCCAAATGTCCATCGACTGATGAATAGATAAAGAAGATGTGGTATTATGTATATAATGGAATATTACTCAGCCATTAAACAGAATGAAATCTTGCCATTTGCAACAACATGGATAGAACTGGAATGTATTATGCTGAGTGAAATAAGTCCATCAGAGAAAGACAGATACCATATGATTCTCCTCATATGTGGAACTTAAAAAATAAAACAGATGACCATGTGGGTGTGTGGGGGGGGTGTCAGTAAGAGAGGGAAACAAACCAGAAGAGACTCTAAATGATTGAGAACAAACTGTGGGTTGATGGAGGGAAGTGGGGGATGGGCTAGAGAAGTGATGGCACTTGTCATGATGAGTACCAGGTGTTGCATGTAAGCGATGAATCACCGAATTCTACTCTTGAAACTAATAACGCACTGTATGTTAACTAACTAGAAATTAAATTTTAAAAAATTCAGGATTTGTCTTGAAGACAAAAAGAAAAAGAGGATACATACCCCAGGACAGCTAGCAACTCTCCTTAAAACAATATAGGTAGATTGTTTGACACAAAGTCACTGTTCAATTGGTAGTAGTTAATGTGGTTTTTTAAAATAATAGGCAAAAATTTAAATTAGTCCATTTCATTTCATTCTTGATATAGAGACCAAAGAAAAAGGTGTGTGTATCTTCACACAGAAACTCACAATGTGGGTCTGATTAAGAGTGACTGAGGTTTGGAGATAGAGTGACGGGCACTGCACTGGCCTTCTGGCCCCGCTGGGCTTTAGGCAGTGAAGGCTTCATCTGTGGGCCCAGCCTTGCCCAGTCCCTCAACCGATCCTGATCAGGTGATCACTGGTGGGCAGTCTGTCAGTTCTGCATGCACCATTTGGTGTGTGTCGGGGGAGTCCAAATTGTAGTCTTCCCTTAACGCCCAATTCATTTCTTCAATTCATGAATCTGGACTTCAAGTGAATTCTTACTCCTTCTCCACTGGTGCAAACATACCTCATGAGCCTACCCAAAACATTATACAAGGGAACGTTACTCACATTCTTTGTATATATTGCCCTGCTGCTGCCATTACCTTTCATGCAAGGAGTCTTTTTTCCTCAAGTCCAAGAAAGAAGAAAAGAGGAGAGGGGACAGGAGGGGAGGGGACAGGAGAGAAGGAGAGGGAAAGTACAATCAGAAGCCAAGACAGTAACCATACCTAAGAGCAATATACCCAGAATAGAAACCATGGCAGTAAGCACAAACTTGAGAGTGGAACTCTGCAGTAGTGAGAGGTCACGTGGCAATGTTCCCTAAACTCCCGATCACAGTACAGGATGACAGAAGACATGTGCTACCGTACTGGGAGGGAGAATTGACAGCAGTGGGGGGCGGGAGGGTGACTCATGCATCATTGCTCACTCAAACGATCCTTACGTTCAGCAGGACATCCAAGAAGGACATACCCTGAGTGAAAAATTACTTGACCATTTGGCAAAGTACTGAGTACTAAGGTAGTAGTTCACCGACAACTAGAAAACTTTCAAATTAAACCATGGAAAAGTCACCCTGTGGGTGTGGAAAGGAATAATATTTTACGATAGGTGTATTTGGGAGGTTCTCTATCAAAAATGTAATGGTCTGACCGATTGGAACAGGACTCCATGAAGGGAGAAATTTCACATGGACTCTTCGACTAATGATAAAATAAGAACGGAGCACAATGTAAGAGCTTTAAGGGCTCTAAGAGGCCATCCAAACTCAGTATTTTATAGTTCAGAGTTACAGATTTGCTTAGCCCATATGCTCAGTAGCAAAGCCTGAGTACAGGAAGCTGCTGGTCCAGTGAGCCTTGGCAGGGACTCTCTGACATCAGAGGACTCTCTTACTCTAAAAAGAAAATGTCTCTTGTGGGAAATCAGTACTATGTTCTTAAACTGATTTTATCAAAAAAGGATGAGACTAGCGATGGCGAAACAAATCCTAAGTGTATAAACAATGTCATCCAACTGTTGTACGATGCCCACATTCCAGAGGGGTTTTTCACAATGACAAATGACTTCAAACAAACATTTGGTTCTGGAGGCACCTTTCGTAAGTGGCTTTAGAGGAACTGTGGAATGCAAAAGAATGTAGAAGACAGTGGTGATCTAACTAGACTGGGAATGAGGAAAATCCTATGTCAAGTTACTGGAATAGAGAATAAGGTAATGTTTATGAAACCCCTTTCCTATCCGAGTGAGACAATAGGGACCACCTAAACCCAGGAGATACTCCGTGTGAGTGAAGAGCTGCTCCATGCGACCCAAACCCAATGGCAGAGATCAGAGTGCATGTGTGGGAGAGCAAAGAGCCACCGTCCCGCCGGCAAGGAAAGCAGGTAGGAGCTGGCAGGCAGTGGGTAGTGGGAGGCAGCAGGTTGAGGGGAAAGTGCACTGCACAAGGATTCAGAGGACTTGGGTCCCAGTCCTGGGGCTGTCACTAGCTGTCCTAGTTGTGCCACCTTGGACAGATTACCTTAACCTCTCTGGATGGGCTTCAGTTTCCTACTCCATAAAAGGAGACTTCACTCCATCTTTGCCGGCTCCAAAATTCTGCTCTCCAGGGCTTACTAGTCAAATGTCTACAGCAATGTTTCCCAGCCCCCTAATCTGAGGCAATTTGGTCCCTCAGGGGACATCTGGCAGTGTCGCAACTGGTTGTCACGCAGTGGGAAGGGGCTACTGCTGTTGGCATCGGGTGGGTGCGGGACAGGGATGCTACTCAACACCCCAAATACAAGGACAGCTCCCCCTAACAAAGAATCACACAGCCTAAAATGTCAATGTGCCAAGGTAGGAAAACACTAACTGAAAGGACAATATGACAAACCCATTTCAGCCAGTTATTGTCATGTTGCCAGATCTGTTTAAGAGAATTTGAAAATATGGATTTTTATGTAAAATATCCCCAGTTGAAGATGGAGCAACACAGTTTTTTAAATATATATAAAACATTCTTGGAGCCAAATAAAACGGGGTGTTAGGACAAATTCTGTCCGCAAGCTGTCAATTTCTGAAATCGTATTTAGCCACATACTGTCTGAGTAATTAGTGTCGTTCAACTGAAAGCGTGGATTTTTTTCATATGTGTTCAGTCATCTGAGCTAGAGCTAAGCAGGTCACGTTAATCCACGCGTGTGCTCATACACACGTCTGTGTGATATAGGGGAAAAACACGACATGAAGTGGTCAGAGACATTCCCACTTACCATGTGGGTAACTCTGGGGTCAGAATCTCTGAACAACAGAGTCTCCACTTTTGGGGAGGGTATCAATATTCTTTCTGTCCACTTCTCCAGGTTGTCACAGGAGAATAGTATCTTGGAGCTGAGGGGCACCTGGGTGGTGCAGTCAGCTAAGCCTCAGGCTCTTCATTTCAGCTCAGGTCATGATCTCATGGTTTGGAGAGATGGAGCCCCACGAAGGGTTCCCGGCTGACAGCACGGAGTCTGCTTGGGATTCCTTCTTTCCCTCTCTCTGCCCCCACCTCACAAAAATAAACAAACATTTAAAATAAGAAAAGAAAAGCATACATATCTTGGAGCTGGAAGGTACTTCAGAAATCACCTCCTATACAATTATACCCAGAGAGGGACAGAGGTTGCCCTTGAGTTCAGTCAGTCAATGGCAGGCC